TGTAGGCAACCATTTAGCTACTTTCTGTCTCTGTAGAGTTCTCTGTTCTAAATATTTTATATAAATGGAACTACATAATATGTGGTCTATCTTTGTGAGTGGCTTCTTGCACTTAACATAATGTTTTCAGGGTTTATCCATGTTGTGGCTTGTATCAGTATTTCATTTCTTTTTATGACTGAATAATATCCTGTTGTATAGATAGAATATATATATTCTAATACATGCATAATATTTATAGCACATTTTATTTATATACTTGTCTATTGATAGACATTTGGTTGTTTCCACCTTTTAGTTATTATGAATAATGCTGCTATCAACATTCTTTTGCAAATTTTTGGTGTACATATTTTCATTTCTCTTGGGTATATGCCTAGTTGTACAATTGCTGAGTCATATGGTAACTTCGTATTTAATCATTTGAGGAACTGCTAGACTGTTTTCCAAAGCTGCTACACCATTTTACATGCCCACCAAGGGTGTATAAGTGTTCTAATTTCTCCCATATCTTCACCAACGCACTTGTTATTATTTGACTTTTTGATGATTCTAGCCATACTAGTGTGTGTGAAGTGATACCTTGTGGTTTTAATTTGTGTTTCTCTGATAACTAATGATGTTAAGCATCTTTTCATGAGCTTATTGGCCATCTGTATATCTTCTTTGGGGAGCTGTCTGTTCAGATCCTTTGCCCTTTTTTTCAATTGGGTTGTATTTGTATTATTGAGTTGCAAGTTAAACTTTTTATTTCAAACTAATTTTAGACTTACTAAAAAGTTATAAAAAAAGTACAGAGATTTCTCACCCTGCTTTCCCTGATTTTACCATCTTTACCTACAATACAATGATCAGCCTAGAAAGTTAGCATTGGTATAATGCTGTTAATTAAACTATGCACCTCCACTAACATCCTTTCTGTCTGAGTATCCTACACAGGATCCCATATTGATTTAGGTGCTATTTGTCCTTGGCCTCCTCCAGCCTGTGACAGTTTCTCAGTTCCCCTTTTCTTTTATGACTTTGACACCTTTGAAGATTACTGGCCAACTGTAATACTAAGAAAATATTCCTTAATGTCTTTTGAGTGTTTGAATCATAAATGAGTGTTGAATTTTGTCAAAGGCTTTTTCAGCATCAATTAAAAAATGTATAGGCTTTATTTCCTTAGATTTATTAACATGATACATAATGATACATTTTCTACTATTGAACCAACCTTGCACTTCTGGGGTAAATCTCACTTGGCCATGGTGTGTGTTTTCATAATGTGGTATGGATTTGCTTTGTGACTGTACTGTGAGCACATGAGAAGATTGTGTGTTCTCTATCGCAGTGTAGAGTTCGATACGTGTTGTTTAGATCTTTTGTCTCCTTATTCACTTTTTGTCCACACTAAGAGTAATACATTAAGATCTCCTATTGTTGTGTTCCTATCTGTCTCCATGAATCTCCTATAGTTTTTGCTTCATAAACATAGTTGCTCTGCTATTTGGTACATAAATACCATAATAACTGTATATTCATTGTAGAATAGGGCATTTATACTAAAATTGTGCCCTGTTGTTGTGTTCAGACTTTGGGACTTAAGAGATAAAGACTTTAAAAAATATATTTATAGTACCTTCCAAGAACTCCTGCTGCTCCTACCCTCAGTACCTATGATAATTACCCCATAACATATTGCAAGCAGTTTCCATCAGGATCTGCTCTCACTGGGGGCCTATCAGAAGCTGTGCATGCCATTCCCAATCCAAAAAGAAAGGAGAAAAAAAGTGGCACCTGGGTTGTCATCACTCTTCATATTACACTAATGTACATTGTAGATTTTGCTTTTTAAAATTTTTTAATTTACTTGCTAAACTATTTACCAAATAAACTGCATGCCCAGTAGATCTAAACTAAAATATATATATATATATACTATTTTATTACAACATTTTGCTATATTTTGTTTAGAATAGGTAGCTCTTTTGAAAGGATTAATTAAATTGTATCTAATTACCTAAGGCAAGGATATTGTATTGGTTCTGAAGAGGGGTACAGAGGAGAGAAAGAGACCTATCTACTTATTATACCTTCTAATTTGGGGCCATATGTATGTATTTCATCCAAAAAACATATATAAAGAATATAACTCCACTTCTTGCAACATTATATACTAGGTTAATAGATCAGCCCTCTTACTGAAAAAATAAAATTACTGGACAAAATATTAAAACAAAACAGACAAACAAAATACCCCTTGAATGCATCTATTAGATAGTAGAGAAATTAAAAAGCTCAGATTAGAGACTGAGAGTGGGAAGCCAGAAAGGTAAGTGGAGCCTGAAACTGGCTTTTGCCTGAAGGCATTTTGCCTAAGCATTGGATTCACAGCCTTGTGGGGCTGGGGACAGAAGGCAGATTCTAGGATTTAGTTAAAATGAAGAGTCTAATAGTGGATCTCCTTTAGTAAAGTTGAGCTACTTTCAAATAGAAGAGCAAACTAAAAATAAGCTTCTCACCAGCTTTTTTAAGCTCCAGGAAATAACTCTGGTGCTGAATTGAGGAGCAAAAAATCTTCTAAGAATTCATAACCAAAATCAAACCCTCATGTATTGCAGCTGTAATTCACAATATCTGGAAGTCACGGAAAACGTCAAGCTGAGGATATAGTAGTATTAGCCTGTTACTTGTAGTGCCCCCTGTTGTCTATTAGAAGCAAATGCAGATATTTTCTAGAGGAGTCCTCCATCTCAGTCCGTAACACGTTTTCCACAGATAAAGTTGCAAGGGAAATGAAACAGCTCACAACAAAGAACACCACACACACACACACACACACACACACACACACACACACACACGAGGGAACAAGAGACTAGCAAAAGCAACTGAGTGCAGAATCAGATACAGAGTATACAATAAGAATATTTAATGTTCCAATAAAGGAGAGGCTTGAAAATTAGTAAAGATATTTAGTGAAAAAGTTATAGAAAAGCACCTACAGAATGATATCAAGATCACGCATAGATTAAAACCAAACAGTTTACATTTTAGGAGTGTAATATACAGATTGTTAAAACTGTAAAAAAAAGCAAGGGAATGGTTAACATAATATAGGATAGTGGTTACTTCCAGGGGCATTAGCAGGCTGTGATGAGAAACAGACACTAGAGGAGTCTGAGATGTGGTAGTATTTAACTTAGGTGGTTTGTACATCAGCATTTATTTGATTGTTTTAAAAGTCTACATTTTCATATATTATGTATGCTAAAGTTTGTAGTTAAAAGGAAACTTGCAGTAAAACACGTAATGTATAAAATCTATATTAATATTTCTTAAATTTTATTTATAATTCCCACTAAAACAGAGTGTTTCAGATGTATGGCAAAGCTTATTATGGTTTGAGAAAGCTGCTTTCTACTAGTATGACACGGCAATTTTCTCCTTGCTTCACAGCGAAAGCATTTGTTTTGTGTTGTTGTTATTATTAATCTTCCCCTTTTTTCCTACTTTGCAGCAAGATGAGAAGATGAAGTGAATTTATGGATTCTGGTTTTTCTGAATTCTGAAACCATAATGAGTCAAAACAGGGATATAATTAGAAGAAGAGGAAATACATGATGAAAAGTTGTGGTTGTTTTATTTTCTGCCTTTTCATGGAGTGTTGATTTATCCATTTTTATGTTTCAATATATGTGCATAAAATAGCTGTTTTGTAATATTAAATTATATTACAAAATTTAAATAATTTTGGTTGTCCTATAACTTATATTCCTTCTCATTCAGCTTTTTCAACCTAATAGGCTTGAACTAAACAGTATCTGTTAACCTTTTAACCAATAAAATGTATTATAAATACTTTTGCAGTGGTTATCTTGTTGTATATCAAGCTAACCTCTTAGTTTTGTTTTTAAACCATTTAATATATGTGAATACCTTTAACACTTTAAAAGTCTCCTGCCCTGGCCAGTTTTCTCTCACCCCTCATTCATCCATACTTTCAGAATTACTTGGTCAGTAATTACTTAGGTGTCAGGTCCGTATTCTGTTATGTGTAATCTAATGACTTGGTGGAGGGGTTAACCTTTCAGGCTCTTTTGAATTTGGTTTTTATAACTTTATTTTAAAGATCACTTGCTCATCTAGTAAAAGTAATAAATCCTATTCATATCTGAGATCAGTGAGCATAGCTTATTGTATATTCAAATAACTAGTCAAATACTATTCTGCCTACATGGAAAAGCTTTCTTAGACCATATTTGACAACTGAAAAGGTGGCCCCAGAAATCTGCATTTTTAGCAAACATTTTAGATAATTCTGGGGCAGATGTCCTAGTACCAAACTTTGAAAAAAATGCTGTAGGAGTAGAGTCCCACAGAACTTACTCATAATATCAACAATGTGTGTTGAATGGGTGCCAGAGGCTTTTTTAAAAGGAACAGTTGACAGTGGTTAAGAGCTTGGCACCCTGGCAGTCTTTGTTGCCTTTCCTGTACTCAGCCTTTGGACCTCCCAGAGTCATTCTCTAGGATTATATTTTTGTTTCTATTCCTACTTTCTTTTCTCTTTTTTTTATTGTTCAAAATATTACAGATGTCCCCTTTTCTCCTCATTGACCCACCCCATCCCATCCCTCTCCTCAGTCCCTCTCCCCACCATTGTCCGTGTCCTTGGGTTGTGCATATACGCATATAAATTCTTTGGTTACTCTCTCCCCCTCCACCCACCCACCCTCCTCCATCCCTCTGACATTCGTCAGTCTGATCCATGTTTCCATGTCACTGAATCTATTCTGTCCATCAGTTTATAAGGTTCTTTAGATTCCACGTATAAGTGAGATCATGTGATGTTTGTCTTTCGCTGCCTGGCTTATTTCACTTAGCATAATTTTCTCCAGGTCCATCCATACTGTTCCAAAGGGTACAAGATTCTTCTCTTTACAGCTGTGTAGTATTCCATGGTGTAAATGCCCCACAGCTTTTTATCCACTCATCTACTGATGGGCACTTGGGCTGTTTCCAGATCTTAGCTATTGTAAACTGCGCTG